AGAGGAAGGGAGAGGGAGGAAGAGGGGGAGGGAGGGAGGGTGCTCAACGAATATGGAGGTCATGTCGCGCAACCCGCCTCAGTTGCAACCCCCCTCAAGCCTTCCTTCCGCTGTGCGGTGCAGGCGCGACATGGGGCAGGACCAGCTGCAGCCCTTCTTTGACTGGGTGCTCGTGCACGCGCGGCCCCGCCTCGCCCACACGGCTCTCCGCCGGATGCTCGAGTCGGCAGCTGGGCAGTCTTGCGGGCGGGCATAGGGGGGTGGAACCTTCCGTGAACCTTCTGGCAGCTCCCCGTAGGAGCTGGGCAGTCTTGCGGGCGGGCATAGGGGGGGGGAACCTTCCGTGAACCTTCTGGCAGCTCCCCGTAGGAGCTGGGCAGTCTTGCGGGCGGGCATAGGGGGGGGGAACCTTCCGTGAACCTTCTGGCAACTCCCCGTAGGAGCTGGGCAGTCTTGCGGGCGGGCCCGCAGACTTTGCGCTCGCCACCTTCGAGATCGGCGTCACCTCGGTCGGCGACCTCGCCCTCCGCCGCTGGCGGTGTCACCCTCCCGCCTTGGCGCGGTGCGTGCCCCGATCTGTCGCCTTCACAGTGCTGCTGCCCACTACCACCACACCAGGTGCACACTCGCCGACTCGGCGCTCTACGCCGCCCTCGCCGCGGCGCCGCTCCCCACCCTCGCGGCCGCCTACGGCTGCGGGGCGAGCTGGGAGCAGACGGCGGCGGCGGCGGCGGCGGCGGCTGCCGACGACCCGCCGCCGGCGCTCGCTTTTCTGCGGCGCGCCGTGCGCTGGCGCGAGTCGGACACTTTCCGCTCTGCTCCGGAGGGCGGGCTGGTCGCCGCTGCGGACGAGGCGGCGAGAGCGCTCGTCGAGGAGGCGGTGCCGCTGCTCTGGTGCGCGCGCGTGCGCGCCCCTTGCCGGCCTTGCGTGCAGCAGCGGCCCGTGCACAGCCTCTGCACATACGTGCATCAATCTCCCTCTCTCTCTCTCCTCTCTCCTCTCTCTCCTCTCTCCTCTCTCTCCTCGCCCTGCCTCCTCGCCCTGCCTCCTCGCCCTGCCTCCTCGCCCTGCCTCCTCGCCCTGCCTCCTCGAGCGCGAGGCGAGGGCGACACCTCTCCGCCTCTCGCCACCGCCTACTCTCCTCTACCTCTGCAGGTGCTCGCTCGAGCCGCGAGAGGGCAAGGTCGCCACGCCGTACGCGGCAGAGGCGCGCCCACCTCTCCAGCGCTAGAGCTGTCCCGCCCCCGGTGTGTAGCCCGGTGTGTAGCCCGGTGTGTAGCCCGGTGTGTAGCCCGGTGTGTAGCCCGGTGTGTAGCCCGGTGTGTAGCCCGGTGTGTAGCCCGGTGTGGTCTAGCCCCGAGGTGTGGCAGTGCGCCCCTCGGTCTCCTCGGCCCCTCTCGCAGGTTGGCGCCGAGCTCGAGGCGGCCCTGCACAAGCTGTGGCGCAGTCCGGCCGAGCAAGCCGCCACAGTGGCGCTGCCGGCAGGGCGCGAGGCTGCTCTCCTCCGGCCGCACTTCCCTCTCGCGCGGCCGGTGGTGGCGGTGGAGCGGGCGGCGGGGAGGGAAGGCGCCGGGACGGCGCGAGGCGACCGCTCGGTGCAGCGCGTCGAGGGCAGCCTTCCCCAAGTCCTTGCCTCGCCAGGCGGCGGCGCGGCGCGCTTGGCCGTCTGCAGGCGCGTTCGGGCGAGATTACACGACAATGATCAATGTTTATCTCACAATGTTAGCACGTCTCACACTGCTGCTTGCCCGTCTCTGCAGGCGCGAGTCGGGCGAGCATCGCTTCGCCGAGGAGAGCATTCGGCTCGGCGGCGAGGACGAGGGCGCGGAGGAGGAGGGCGGCGGCGAGGCGGAGGCGGAGGCAGTGCTGCACGCAGAGGCGTGCCACGTCCTACTCGGCTCTCGACTTGCGCTGCTGAGCGAGGCGGCGGCGCCACACCCCGATCTGGAGGATTATCTGGAGGGTTGCTGCGAGTAACCCGGCTAAGCCACACACAATCAAGGCCCACACTCACGGGCAGCCCCCCCCCCCCCCCCGCCGTCGCCGTCGGTTGGCGCCGCTTCTTTGTGTGTCCGCGCCGCTCTCTCTCCGTGGTCTCCCTCGGCCGGGCCGTGCCACGGAGCACACGGTCTGCATCCGCGCGTTGCTGCACCTGCAGCATATATTGTGCTCGGGGCGAGATGCACCGGCCAAAAACGTGTGCTGACTGTGCTGTTAACCCTTTTTACCATTATAGTTATAGAACATTATTCTTTGCGAAGGGCGCTCTTGAGCGCGTTGAGGCATGAGAGGGAGGTGCACAGAGCACACAGCCGCGCTCAAACTCAGTTGGCAGAGGGCTCAGATGTAGTTCTAGGCACAGGGGCACACACAACGCCAACAATCGCAACGATTCCCAAGTGCATTCCCAAGTAGTATACGTACAGAAACTGCGCGATGCTAGATGCCGCACTACTCTATGCGCCACGCAGCTGACTCACGCTGCTAATGCTCGTTGCTCCTCCAGCCGCGCTAAACGCTCTCCCCAGCTCACCAACGCCCCCCCAAACGGCGCGTCTCCTCCTCATCTCCCCACTGTCTCTCACTCCTGATCACAGCACACATGCTACGCGAGCGGAGCACGAATCGCCCGCCTGCAGCGGACGCCCGCAGCGGACGCCCGCAGCGGTCAAAGCGCCTCCGTCTCTGGCCTCCAGAGGCCGGCCGTCCCCCTCCCTACTCGGCTTCGCCCTCCTCCTCCACCTGCTGCCCAAACACTTTGCGCGCGACGATCGGCGTGAGCGCGACGGTCGGCGGGAAGCGGATTGGCGACGCGGCCTTGTGCACCGCGTAGGCCAGCCCGACGGTGCCCACCGTCTCGGAGGTGGAGGTGGTCTCAATGTTGACCTTTTGCAGCAGCGACGCGACGTCCACCCCATTGTCGATGGCGAGGTAGCACAGCGTGAAGGAGACCAGCGCGAGCGACGTCGACGTGAGCAGGTATGCGCCGCCGTACCGCTTGAGCAGGTCGCCCGCCTTGGCCATGCCGCCGCCCTCGCCGTCATCGCCGCCGCCGCCGCCGCCCTTGCCTCCGCTGCGGAGCGCGCTGAAGAGGCCCGCCTCGAGGCCGTACTTTTCCGCCACCTCGTCGGGCGAGCGCTGCTGCTCCTGCTGCTCCTGCTGCTGCCCGCCACCGCCGAGGACGAGGAGCGGCGCGGCGGCGCGGCGGCGCGGCGCGGCAGCAGAGAGCGCTCGCGCGGAGGGCGGCGCGATCAGGGCGACGACGCCCGCGGCAGGAGCGGCGAGGCCGGCCAGCACGGCAAGCAGGAGCGCGAGATGCGGCGAGCAGCGGTGGGCGGCCCACATTGGCTCGAAGAAGAATAAGGGCTGAACTCCGGACCTTTAGTTTGCCGGGGTGCCTAGTGCGATGGTGCCGTACGAGCTTACTTCCTCTTGATCACAGCGGATTTTGGTCACAATTTTCACGTCATCGCAGAGCGCACCCGAGCTCAAAAAGTACGTAAGAGCTACATACACTGAAAAAGTAGCAGCAAGGCCAACCAACCAACACAACAACTCTCTCTCTCTCTCACCAACCAAGGGCTTAGAAGGCAAAAACTCTAAAAGGGGACAAAACACAAAAGGGGCTCCCAGGCACTAAATTTGTCCGCCCGTCCACTGAAAACGGACTTCGGCAAGCAATTTTTTGGCGCCGTGGCCGTGGCCGAATGATGCGCGCGCAGCCGGAAAATCGTAAATCGGTGCCATTTTAACCGTTTTCCACGGTTTTCTTGTGCATGTTCGGAAGAGAGAGAGATTTTTGCATGAGCATGTTCGGCCTGCCCAGCACCACAAGAGACAAGTCTAGGCACTAGGGTTACACAGGTCACAGGAGGACGGGACAGGTGAGCGGCCGCGCCGGCAGCGACGGTGTTGACGGCCGGCTCACCGGGACCAGGGACGGTCTGAGCCTACACTGGTTGGAATCTTTGGGATGCGAGAAATAGTGGCCACGTAGAGTTATATCTGGAGTCTTTGCGACATATGAAGGCAATACCAACCGAGCGGACAAGGCACGCATCCGAACAAAACAAAAACAAGGCCCACCACCGGCGGCCCCACGACGGCGTCCTCGCCGCCTGGGCGGACGCGATGCGCGCCCCGGCCAACGCGCCGGTCGTGCACGGCGACAAGGAGAAACCAGAGCTCACCCGGCAGTACAACGAGGGGTACAAGACTGACCTCGCAGAACCCCATGCGGGACCAGGAGGGTGCGATGACGTGAATGAAGTCAAGCTCTGGACGCCCCTCCTCAAGACCTCCTCGCCGGGCGTTGGCAACGCCTCGAGTGGCGGCACGCCCGCCTCCGTTGGCCACTCCTACGCCTTTGGTAACACCGAAGAGAAGGCCCGCCGCCTAAACATGGGCTGCAAGGCGCGCGGGCAGCCCGGCCAACCCTTCTCCCACAAGACCGGCCACGGCTACGTCAAGGCGCATCGCGGTTTCTACCACGACGCGATCTTTGTCAAGCGCAACAACTTCAACCTGCTGCTCCACGAGACGTTCGGCGGCGGCTTCTCGCCCACCGCCGTTCTCAAGCTGCGCCGCCTCGCGCGCAAAGTCGCGCGCGGCAGCGTCGACCGCACGGCCTACTCGCCCAAGTACTCGCTCTCTTTTATATGTCCCACCATGCAGAGCGCATCTCTCTCTCTCTGTTGTGCGAGGCGTGAACCGCGCCATTCGCTCTCACCTGGCAACCCTGTCTGCACGTCTCGCGCGCGCGTGAACAGGGCTCCAGGCCCCAAATGACGTGTGAGTGTTAGATTTGTTTGGTATTGCTAAAAATCTCTCTCTCTCGCATCCGGGTACGGTTGCTCGCGTGCTGCGCAGTGGCTGCTATACCACCGGCTCCCTGACCCTCAGCTAAGCCCAGTGGCGATCACGCCGACAACAGGCTGGCGTATCCGAACTCTTTGCAGGAAGGCTCGGTGGCCGCCTCGCAGCAACGAACGCGTCTCGTCCGTGTGATGAAGCATTTGCTGGAGGCGATTGGCTGAGCCCACCGGCGACCGATCCGTGTCTGTTACCAGACACGAGGACGAGCGCGTCGGAAACTCGAGTTCATCATGCCCGAGCGCCGAGGCGGCAGACGGCCGCACATATGCGCACATCCTCCGGCCCTTGCGCTAGCCGCTGCGGCAAGGGAATTCCGGCAAGGCCGCGCAAGGGCCGACCAGTCATCGTTCGTTCGTCTCTGCGAGGTGGGGCTTGCGCAGATGCGCGCTCGGCGACGACGCCTGTGCGACCAATCCCCCCCCCCCCCCCGCAAAAGAGAAAGCGGTGAACTGCTAGGCGCAACTGCCTCTGACTACGCCCCCTCAGAGAGACGACTCACGAGCGCCGCACTTGGAGCACTTGGAGTGCAGTTAGTTGCCGCACGCCCAGGACCGGGGAGCTCAGAAGCGCACCCAGTTGGCCGGACGATTGGGATCGGGTTACGGGCTAGAGAGCCCTAGCCCCGGGGGTGCGCGGTCGCAGTCATGCGCACGATTTCTTCTCCCACAGACTTCGACGTGAGCAATGTCGTCATCCTCCAGCCAGTTCACGGCGAGCTCGCAAGGCCTCGTCTGCTCACGGCTCGCGCTGCCCTTCAACGTGGACGGGCCCTCCACCGTCGAGTGGTCCTGGTCCTCGGCCGACCCCGTCGAGTTCACCGTGACGTTCCTGCCCCTGCCGGGTCAGCGCTACAGCCTCGGAGAGCATGTCGGCACGGCTTGGACGGACCGCGCCGTTCCGATCGCTATGGCGCAGCCGGCCGACCCTGATCAGCCGCAGCCCGAGCCCGAGCCGCTGGTGCTCACCTCGATGAGCGGCAGCGACGACAAGGGCATCGCCGAGGTGGAGGGCTCGGGCGAGGTGACTATTTCGTGGCACTGTCCAGCGTCGAGCTCGATGCTGAGCGGGCTCTTCGGCTCGGCGGACCCAGACACCGAGATCAAGTACGCGCTCACCGTCGGCGCCACCGCCGCTGTCCACGCCAGAGTCGAGGACGAGCGGCGGCGCGCGGCGGCCGAGAAGGCGGCCCGGGAGGCAAAGGTGGCCGCGCTGCGTGCAGAGGCGGCGGCGTGCGAGAAGGACGCGGCGGCGAGCGCGGAGGACGTCAAGCTGCACCAGGCGGGGATCGACGAGCTGGCGCCGAAGCTCGACCAGGTCGAGGCGGCCTTTGCGGAGCAACAGGCGGCTGCGGAGAGGGAGAGGGCAGAGGGCAGAGGGAGAGGGCAGAGGGAGAGGGCAGAGGGAGAGGGCAGAGGGAGAGGGCAGAGGGAGAGGGCGAGGGGCGAGGGAGGCTGACCTCCGCCCGGCCCGCAGGATCGGGTGGAGAAGGAGCTCGCAAAGCTGGAGGAGATGCACGCCCCTCTCGAGGAGCTCAAGGCGCTCGCCTCGCACCCCGCCCCTCTCCCCCGCCCCCCTCTCCCCCGCCTCCCTCTCCCCCGCCTGCCTCTTTTTTGCCTCTGCCGGCCTCCTCCCGCCTCTCTCCGCCCCTCCTCCGCGCCACGACACGCCTCCACTCGCCGTGCAGGCTAAGCTGAGTGTCCTCGAGACCTCGCGCAACGAGGCGGAGACGCTGCGGCGCGAGCACCTCGACTCGAAGCAGCGCCTCATCGACGACTTGCAGCGGCTCGCCACGGCCCCGCTCACGCCGGTCCGCGCCGCCCCGTGAGGCTGCGCCGCGTCGGGCGGTCGCGACGAGCGCGCTGCCGGCGGCTTCGGTCACCGTTTCGGTCACCTTATCGGTCACCTTATCGGTCACCCTGAGCGAGGCTCTCGGCGAGTGGGGAGGGGAGGACTCGAGCGCAGAGGCGGAGGGGGCTGGGAGCGTGTGTGATGCGTCACGGGGCTCCTCGTGCGTTCGGGGCGTGCGCACGGCGGATGGGGTGTGGAGGCTCACGTCAGAGGGAGGGAGAGAGAAAGAGAGAGAGAGAGGCCGGGCGAGAGTGGTGAGGTCGAGATCACCTGGGCGGACGGATCGTGTGTACAAGCCGGACGTGTGAGAGTGAGAGACCGAGGGGCAGCTGTGCGCCGCCAAGCGCCATGTGCCATGACGCCGCAACCCGCATCGTTTGGACTTGGTGTCGCGCTAAGTGTGGGCGAGGGAACGGCGTTTTTTAATTTATACCAAAGTCTGAACAGGTGTGAACAGCAGCTCCTGAGCACGGCGCCGCAGGTGCCTGTTGATGGGTCCAGGTGATAGCCCTGGATGGGCAATGCATACGCCTCACTGGGCCTCAGATCCCCCGACCGCGTCCCGGTGCTATCTGTGGTCGGATTTGTGACGCCGCCGCACCGCGCGCCCGCGGCCGGGGGCCCTCCGGAGGCCAAGGATGGCCGTGACGGACCGGGACGAGCTCTGGGAGGTTCAGTGTCAGTGTATATATTGTAGAGATCAACCATGTGCCGCTCTTCCGTGTCGGGTTGTGACGAGGGGTGAGGGGACACGGATTGAAGATCCCTCACAACAAGATCGTGCAGGGCGGGGACACACGTCCCTAAATCCCATCTCGTCTCAGAGTTTGACCGTTTTCTTTATTTATTTACAATATCTCTCAGTCTAGCTACGGCTCTAAGCCTGGGAAGGCGATGCCGGGGCCGTACAGCAGCTTGATGGTGCTTCGCCGGCGCGTGCGTCCCGGAGCGGTGCCGGACGGGCGGTCCGTGGGAGGAAAACGAGGGACAGCGCCGACGGCGCTCTGATTCGACTTTTAACTTCAAACAAAGACAGTGGCACGCGCCGCACTGCGGCGCGTGCCCCACTGTCAGGAGCGGATATCCGTCAGTGAGTTGTGTTCACGCCGGGATCGTGTCCCTCACAACCTGGGCAGACTTTAGCCTACCACAGTAGTAATAGGCAATAATGTGATTTGACTTATTATAGTAGTCTGTGACTCGCCACGGCGCGCGGGGTATGCGTGTGCTCGATCTGGGACGATGGTGTTCGAACTTCGATGCCGCGGGTCCGCGCAATCCTCTCGGTGCAATCCTCCGGCTCGCGGGGACGGGCTGTCCCGCGACGGGACTCGCCCTCTCACGCTCTACCTCATGTGCCGGGTCTGAGCGGCCTGTCCGCGCCCGCCGCTCCCCCGCCTGGCGCCCGGTACCGCCCGTCCGGCTTCCCCCAGCTCCCCTGCACGCAGTAGCAGGAGTGAGCTTCCGCCCCGCCTCCCCTCAAATCAGCGTGCCCCGTCCGACACATCAGCGTGCCCCCTCCTTCCCGTCTCGCTCACTCGGCCACCTCTCCTCCAACAGCGTCCTCCGGAGGGCGTTTGCGAGCGGCTCGCTCGCAAGGATCGTCCAGTGGTCGCTTGGCACGCCCTCGACTCGTACCTAGTTGGCAGCGTGTTAGTCTGCCGAGGAGCAGCGAGGGCGTGGCGCCTCTCTCTGCTCTGCCAGCGCACCGGCACGCCCGCCGCCCGCAGCGCCGGAGCAAACTGTGGTGTGCAGAGGAGGTGGCTGAGGGCGGGCTCAAACAGCGGCAGTCCAAAGGCCTCGTGGTGGCAGTGGACGAGGAGGTGCGGGACCGCGGGGCTCTTCTCCACGGTGTGCAGGGGCGACGGCAGCGCCTCGCCAAAGAGAACGCGCTGCAGGAGCCACGCGAGGAGGCGGGCCGACGTGACGTCTGAGCGGCGGGGGAGGGCGTGGGCGAGTCGCGGCATCAGGCACCCTCCTGACCTAGGGCGACGCGGTGCCTGGCAGCAGCGGACCCGCGCGCGTAGCGAGCACACCCGAGAGCAGGAGGATGCCGTCGCAGCCAGCCGCCGGGGGGAGGCCAAAGTGAGCGAGCTTGTCGGGCCGCTGCAGCAGCGAGACAGCAACATGCCCTCCCGAGGAGTAGCCGCCTATGATGAGCTTGGCGTCCGGCGGCGCCAGCTCAGCACGGTGGCTGCGCACCCAAACGAGAGCTTGCGCGACGTCATCCATCATTGCCTCGTGCGTTGCGGCACCACGTGCGGCCAAGAGCCACGCGCCGTACAGAAGCAGCACGCAAACAGACCATGGGAAGCCGCCTGCTAGCGCAGCTGCGCATGCGAGCGCAAAGGCAATCGCACCAGGCGGCGGCCGAGGGAAAGCGCCACGGTGTCGGACGCACACACACGTGCAGCCCACAGATGCGACTGTCGCAGGTCCGGCCGCATTCCACCAGTCAAAGACGCGGTAGATGCCAGCGCGGTGGCCAATCCAGCCCGACCCAACAACCATGATGACGAGCGGAGGAGTGTGGTCCGTGCCAGGCGAGCTGGTTGGGCTGTAGACGTCGAGCGAACGCTCAAAGTGCTGCGACGGAGGCGCGTAGAAGACCGTCCGCTTCGGCATGGCAGGGGGCTGTTGGCAGTGCGGAGCACGCGTCTCTCTTCCGAGGGGGACGCACGCGTCGATGACGCAAACTTCTCTTCTTTTTTAATAATTTCCTTCTTTTTCGTTCATCCAGTTCGTTACAAAACATCACGCGTCCGTCGCTGCGCGGAGCGCTGCGCTCCCGAGGCCATCCCCCAAATGGAGGCCAACCCCCGAATGGAGGCCAGCGACGATGTGTGCGTGCTCCTCACGTGGGGCGACGGCTCGTACGGGGCGCTTGGGCACGGAGAGCGGCTGAGTGAGACTGTACCTCGCGTGGTCCTCGCGCTTGTCCCGACGGAGCTACGTGGCGTCTCCTGCGGCTCGGCCACCACTTTTGCGCTCACGGCCGACGGGGCGTTTTCGTTCGGCGCCGCCGTCGGCGGCGTGCTCGGCCAAGGAGCAGTCCGAGGAGACACGAGCTGTGTGTGCACCCCACAACGGGTCACTGGGCTGAGAGGCGGCCTCACCTCGCTCGCGTGTGGCGACAGGCACGCGCTCGCCGCCGGTGAGGGCGGAGAGCTGTACGCGTGGGGCGATGGCGGCGACGGCAGGCTGTGGGACTGCCCCGGTGAGGCACCCGAGCCCGCCATCTCGCTCGCTGTCGACGCTGGAGTCCGAGCAGCGGCTGCTAGTGCCCAGGCCGATTCCTCCGTGGCCGCGGTAGCGTGCGGCTCGGTGCATTCGCTGGCCCTCACACGCTCGGGCGTGGTTTTCTCTTGGGGTCCGCCAGGGGCCCCACAGCTCGGGCACGGCGTACTTCCGATCTCATCCCAGAGGCAGGGAGGGAGAACCCCGCCGCAGAGGGGGGGAGAGAGAGAGTATGCCAGTCCGACGGGCGGACGAAGGCTGAGCCAGCGGGAACAAATTGACCGAAATGGACGGATGAGCCCGGAGAAGCCACGCGTCGTGGTGCGCTCGCAGTCCCCGGTGGCCTTGCCAACGCCGGAGGACTGGTCCGACGATTGCGAGTGGGGCGTCGTGCCGGCGTGGAGCTCCGGGGCCGCGAGGGCGCCCCCACCGGCGGCGACGCGGCCGCCACCGCCGAGCGGCGGCGGACGTGCACCGGCGGCGTCGAGCGGCGACGCTCCTCTGCTCGTGCCAGATGTCAGATCGGTCTGCGGGCTGGCGGCGGGCGTGAGCCACTCGGCCGCGCTCTCGGCCAAGGTTTGCTCTGCGGGGCTCTCAGATCCGACGAGGCGGCCCTAGCTCACCCTCGCGTGCCGCTCCCGCCCACAGGGCCGGCTCTGGATGTTTGGCGACAACGGGGACGGCCAGCTCGGGCTGGGTGACGGTGGCGCTCGTCGCATCAGCGGGCCGCAGCGGGTGCCGGCGCTCGTGTCTGTCAAGGCGCGCGGCCCACTTTGGGCACCCGCACAGTGGCACCGCACCACACGCGCGCCACCAAGCTTACTGCCTGTGGTGTCGAGGTGCGCACGGTGGCCTGCGGCGGCTTCTTCACGGCGGCGGTGGTGGCCGGCGGCGGGATGGTCACATTTGGGGCCAACGAGTGCGGCCAGCTCGGCCACGGAGGGCGCGAGGCGGAGCGCGCGCCGAGGCTCGTGCGCGCGCTCGAGGGCACGCCCATCGCGCAGGTGGCGTGCGGCGCCTGCCACCTGGTGGCGCTCTCCGAGACGGGGGCGCTGCACGTGTGCGGCCGCAACGGCGACGGCGAGCTCGGCACGGGCGATCTGGTGGGCGCCAACGCCGAGCTGCCCCGCCGGCTGCCACTGTTTGGCGACCCGGGCGTCTGCACGGTGGCGGTGGCGTGCGGCTCGTTCCACACCGCCGCGGTGGTGCGCCTGAGCCGGCGGCGTCTGGGCGGGCTGGTCGGGGAGCGGGCCGCGGCGGCGGTGGAGGAGAGGATCGCGAGGAGAGGGCGAGGGGTGGGGGTCCGGAATAAGGGTGGCGGGCGTGGGGGGTGTGAAGGGTGTTTGGTGTGAGTGGTTGACTAGAAAGCCTCGATTCCTTGAGTCCCAGCTGTCACGGTAAAATATCTCGCTTTCGCCGACGCAAGTGACAAGTCACAAGATTTAGCTCGGCACGGAAAAAAGTCGAAGACCCGGCTACGTACGACGGTGATTCGTGGCATCCTATGGGTCGTCCAGAGTATCGACCTCTGGCTTGTCAGCCGCCCCACCGAGGGCACCATGAAGTACAGCGATCGCCACCTCGCTGGCCTCTCCGCAGGCCCCCCCGACCGCGTCGAACTCATCGGCGCGGGCTCTCTCGGCTACGGGACCGGCCCCCCAGCTTCGGCTGAGGGCTGACAAGCTGCTGCACGACGGTGACTGTCAAACGTTATCGTAACTTGGGTCGAACAGTTGCGCTGTTATTGAACGATATCAGCAACCAACCTCCTAGGGCTCCCAGGGTAGGGTGCCCACAGGGCCCAAAAAAAAGAAAGGAAAAAGAAATGGGCGCACCCCGATCGCAGCACTTCGTGTTGGAGAGTCGAGATATTGACAAATTTATTGAGATTGTGACTAGGAGGGAGGGACGCTGGCGGCTGGGGATTCTCAAAGGTATACCCTTGGAATGGCCGGATCCAGCCTCGAAAGTACGAGATCGCGCGCGCTTCGCGCGCTGCACCGCCTGTCTCCGCGGCTGAGTGACGACGCGTGCCGTGTGCCAGCAGAGTTGGGCGCGCGCGGCGCGACGGCGCCCGCGAGGGAAGGCGCGGGTGCAGCGCCGCCGGCGGTCGTACCGCTCGCCAGCCAGCGCAGCAGCGGCCCCAGCGCAGCGGCCGCCGGCGCAGCAGCCAGAGCAGCCGGTGCGCGCCTTGCGAGGCGAGTACTGCCGCCCGGCAGCCTAAGGCGGCCAGGCGGCAGTACTCGTTCGAATGTTGCGTCCGAGCCGTGCGTGCGCCGAGGCGCGCGCGGCGCGCGCCCGCCCGGCTGCCAGTAGGAGGCGGCGCGCAATATGGCCTATAGTACAGCCCTTAGGAGGAGGAAGAGGCTGGCTGGCAGTGCTGTATGCCGCCGAGGGGCAGTTTTGGGGTGCTATCCCCATCCCAGGGGGCTGCAGAAGGCACGTCCGCAACCGGGACAACCCGCCCCCCCAGCCGAGGCCGGTCGAAGTGCCCCCTTGAGCACAGCCATGAGGTGCGCGCACCGAGGGTCGGCTTGCACAAGGTCTGAGCCGCAGGCGCTCGGCGCCAAGTGCAGTGTCACGCTCGCACGCGAAGGGGACACAATGGGGAACCCTCGTTTCCTAGTCACTGTCTCGGTCCCCCAACGGAGGAGGCCTCGCTCCTATTGGAACACTCCAACATCAGATTTGCCTCGTGCGTCCCTTTTTGCAGTCGGAAAGCTATTTATTTTATTTTGGGTCCTGTGGGCACCCTAGCCAGGGCTTGGAGGTCTTTTCAGTTGCAACCATCGTGATACAACTGTAGGCAAGGCGTTCAGGGTGATACTGATCGATAGACGGGCTGGCATGTGGCAAGTGAGAAGTAAGTGTACACGGCGCCTGTGAGCTGTGTACGGGTAACAAACCTTCAATACTTCCTGTGTATCGCACAAAGACTCTATACGACTCCCAGTCCTCTGATAAACACAAGATGCATGCTTGGGGCGCTATCGCGATCTCTTCTCGAAGTTCTTCGCTATCCGAATCATCCGCCTCGCCTCTTCGCTCCCCGATTCGCTGCCCGCATTTGCATGCAGTGCGCGGCAAGAGTGGCTCGAGGGGCTCTCCCCCGCGGCTCACAATCTCTCGCAAGCTACTCGACATCGGGAACCGCATGTGCGGGTTGGGACACGAGGGTAGTGAGGATAGCATGCGCCAGCCGGGCGCCGCCTCATCCTCAAAGCATTGATGCATCATGAGACGTCGCGGTGCCGTCACGGCACGGCCCACCACGAAAGCCGCGCCAGGAATGTCTTCGCCGCCGGGAAGTGCACCATCTGAGAAAGCCACCCTCATGCCCTCTTCACGCATCGCCTCCGCCTCCGCCCTTGTCGATGCCGGTCGCGCCCCCTCTAGTCGTCCCTGTCGGACATAGCTGATCGACGTGCGGGGGCTGTCCCGGCCGTCTGACCAGAGAGCGTGCACCTGCTCGCACACGCGAGCCTCCCAAAGGAAGCTGCCATCAGGCGGGTTGTCGAGCATGTGCATGTACAGCAGGACGATTCGGTCCCGGTCGTGCCACCAGCAGCTGTGCGGCCACGCCAGAGGCGCGAGCTCATGGCGATCGGCGCTCCTTGGCCGCACCGCACCTCAGCCGGCTCATCCGGGCGACGGACGGCAGGCGCCTCTACCGATACTCCGCTATAGAGACTGGCTCGTCATATAGCCATTCTACTTATTTTAATTTTTATAATAATTATCATCCCACCTCACCTTCACAACCTCACTTCACTTTCAACCATTATAAGCAAGTGCGTACGATGATCTCCGCATCTGAATCCCATCATCCTCTATAGCTCAGTTGGTCAGAGCGTGCGGCCGTTAACGTGAGGCTGACACCGCGAGGTCGCCAGTTCGAGCCTGGCTGGAGGAGGGCCTTTTTTTTTTTGCTCGCGCGCCACGCGTCTGCGCCGACGAGCCGGACGGAATGATCTCGCCTCCGATCTCGTGGGCGAGCCGTTACAATTCCGCGCAGTTCCCTCGCTCAAATCCATTCCTTCCATCCCCGAGACAGCGCCCGTCGCGGTCGACCCTCAGCCCGTACCCCGCAGAACGCACAACGACTCGACACACGCGAGACCGCGACGGCTGACCGACGGGTCCACGCGACCCCGTAAGCGCAAGGCGCCCGCGTCTGTCCGCGTCGCGCCCGCAAGCGAACACACTCGACAGATCCGAAACTCCGCGCATGCAGTACCGCGGGAGCACACATGCATACGCGAGAGAGGAATGCATACACTCAAGCGACCCGCGCCCTTGCGACACGCGTCCGTGCGGTGGGGGCGGCGTCGCCCGCTACACGGGGGCGGGGCGGCCGGTGGTGGCCACCTGGTACTTCTGGCCAAAGTGCGCGATCATGCGCTGCTGTATGTCGACCTCCATTGACGGCGGGAGGTACCACGACTTGTCGGCCTCCGCGTCATACTTGGCGCCGAATTCCCTCGCGAGCTCGTGCGCCTTGTTCTGCTTCGTAGATGTAGACGACATTGGCGATCGGGCTGGACGGCGCGGGATTGAGCGTCGTCTCGGCCGGCCGCACCCAATGGCGCGGCAGCGGCGGCGGCCGCGGCGGCGGCATCTCGAACACGCCCCACGAGTTGATGGACTTGTCCACGTGGAGCTCCGGCTCATGGCCGACGAGGTAGTCGGCCAGCTCGCCCTCATTCACGATCACGACGAAGCGCTCCTCCCCACCGCGGGTCGTTTTCGCGTACTCGAACCTGCTCAGCGCGAGGGACCAGAACGCGGGTGTCAGAGGCAGAGAGCGGACGATGGAGCATAACATGTTATGGGCTGCTATAACACCCATAACATGTTATGGGCTGCTATGCCCCGAGAGCCATAACACCATAACAATAACTGTGTCAGGGGACAACTACGAGGGGTGGTGGAACCACATGTGGAAGGCCCCCGCACGGGGGGTCCCGGCCGACGTCATGCGCGTCCGGACGCGGCCCTCCGTACACGGAAACAGGATACTGAAGGCATTCCCGAACTCAAAACAGGATACTGAGGGCAGATATGAGCTCAGCTCAGTGAGATCTAGCTGCACATACCCTTAGTATCCAGAATAGTCCAGTCTGAAAAAAGTCGGTCCGACCGCGCGGAGCCGTCTGGCTCTCTGCAGAGCCCCCGCGGGCACGCCTGGTCCGCGGCGGCGAGGAGGGAGCGAGCGCCGAGAGCAGCGTCAATCCTGTGTGCGAGGGGGAGGGGAAGACACTTATGCTAGTAGGTCAGGGAGGTGTAGATGGTCGGGCTCAACCACCTGCACTCGGATGAGCCGCAGCCTAATCTCCGCCGTCGCTGCAGCAGGCAGCAGCTTGCCAAAGGAGCCGCCGGTCGTCGACTTGCCGTTGACCTCGGCGATGAAGTCGCCCACGCAAAGCCCGGCGGTGTCGCCAGCGCCACCCTCGACCACGTTGGTGATTTGGTGGTTGTTGGGGTCGACAGAGATTCCAAGCGTCCCGCCCTTGCGTGTGAGCGTCACCGTCAGGGCGCGCTTCTTCGCGCCAGAGGAGCCGCCAGCCTCGTCGTCGGCGGTACTCCGCTTGCGGTGGGGAGCAGAGTCCGCGGCCGGCGTGATCAGTTTAAGCGCCTCGTCAAACTTCCAGCCGGCCTGTTGATCGCGCGGCACGTAGACTCCTTCGTCGGTGGGGAGGTTGAGGTCGAGGAGGCCGAGCACCGACTCCATGTGGTACGGGGCGGAATCGTCGACGTTGTACTTGAAGGTGTAGTCGCCGTCCGCGCCCGACTTGGCGTAGAAGTTGCAGTGGATCTTATAGTTGGCTGCCTTAGCCTCGTCGAACGGCACGGGGAGATAGGTCCGCACGTAGCTCCCCCTCTTGCCGCCCGACTTGCAGAGCATCTGCTGCACGCGGCCGCACCACCAGTCGAACCTACCCGCGCTGTCGTACGTGGCGATCACAACGTTCGTGCTGATCTCGAGCATTGGTGTTGCAATTGTGAGCGGCGACTCCGTCGGCGGGTCGGCGGCGGGCGCGGCGGACGCGGCGGTGTCAGAAGCGGCGGGGCCGGTGCCGGTGCCGGTGGCAGCGGCGCCGGGCGCAAGGCCGGCGGGGCCGGTGGCAGCGACGCCGGACGCAAGGCCAGCTGCGGCGGGCGCAGGGGGGAGGGCGGCAGAGGCGCGGTCGCGGTCGAGATCGAGCTTGGCCTGCTTGGCAGCGGCCGTGATCTTCTCTAGGCGCGACGTCGGTACGGCAAATTGGAGGACCTCGTGCCTCTCGGCTTCTCCTATGCGTGATGCCAGCAGAAAGGACGCTGATTCATGCTCAAATGAGGCACTGCGTGTCTCCTCGCAGCTGCAGCTGGCATCCGCCGTGGACTAATAAAACTGCGATCTCAGTGCCCCAGCACGCAAAATCTTCTCTGCGGGACTACCGCCCCGCACCCCGCCCGGGATGAATTCACACCTCTCAACAGCTGTTCACACCTGGAAAACTCATCGGATTTGGGCCACTTGCCTGGGCGACCCCGGACCCTTGGCGGACGCGCATGACGTCGGCCGGGACCCCCCGTGCGGGGGCCTTCCACATGTGGCGGCCACCGCCGGCTCGACGCGACGATAGCCTCCGGAGGCTGACTTTGAGGCACCATCATCGGACGATGTCGACGAGTTGGGTCGCTCTCGCGGTAGCCAGATGACCTCTCTTCCTAGTAGCACTGGCCATGGCCGCAGGAAGCTCGGGGGAGGGCGCTGTGAGCAACACGGAGCTCCGTTGGACGCGTTTTCAAGATTAGCGTGTCAGAGTGAATTGGAACTAGCCTGTGCGGTTAATGACTGCACTCCAAGTGCTCCAAGTGCACTCCAAGTACTGTGATTTATTTAGTGAACGTGCACAGAGGTCAGAGCACACACAGTCATGCACTTGCTCTTGGAGAGCCGACCGTTGGTCTCTTGGAGATGGAGTGCAGTTGGCAACCTCTGGCTCTGCCGGTTCGTGTCGTTACTCGTTTGTTTATTGCTCACCACATCCACCACGCCACCCAGGGGACACGATCGCGAAAGTGGAAGGGAAGAAAAAAAGTGTGGGCGTGTTGAAGTTGAGAGCCGTCACAGCACCGCCTCCAAGTAAGGGAGCACCACCTCAAACGTGGGCAGTATGACACCGGCGACCGGGCCGGCGCGCAGTATTGTCAAGGCGTAGCCGCGGTACAGCCGCGCTGGGCCGTCCTCGCGCAGGAGCGCGCGCACGCACGCGAGCCAGCCCGGCGCCTGGCCGGCAGGGTGGGCGGCGGCGTGTGCCACCTGGACGTTGCGGACGACGTCGATGGGGTAGACGACGCACCAAGTCACCACGTTCGCTCCGGCTCCCGCCGCCGTGCGCGCCCAGAGTGGAGGCTCGCCCTTCGCGGAGCCGCTCGGCGTCAGCGCCTGCTTGAGGAGGCAGTAGGCGAGCCCCGTGAAGAGCGACGCCAGGCTGCCGATGGACCTATGAAGGATCCGAGAGGGCTCTTGGAAGAGAGCCGCATCCCACGGCCTCCCACCACACCGGAGAGAGTGACCGCGCCGTCGCCACGAAGCTCTGTCCCGTAAGCTGCTGCTGCACCTTGACGCGCGAGAGCAGCGTGGTGACCGGGGAGATGCACAGCCCGGCGACCGAGCCGGCGGCCGCGTGGCACAGCAGCGGCGGTCTGTCGGCCGAGAGGCGTCGCCGCACATTCTCGTACACTCCCAGGTTGGCCGCCTGCAGCGCGCCAGCTCCGATCAACGGCGTGCCGACGCCACGGAAGAGGCAGCGCAGCGAGGACGGCGACCGCCTGCCCGCCTGCGCGTGCACCTTGAGGGTGTCGAGAGGGTGACCAACCAGCGTGCCCACGGCGCCGGCAATCGACCCGGCGAGGAAGGAGTGCAGCGAGATTGTGGCGCGTTCGCGCGGGCTGTCCCTTTCGGCAAGCATGCGCGGCCCTGCCTCTTTGCGCCGCTCGCTCGCGGAGGTGGGAGACATGGCCGCCGATGCGGCTAAGGCAGGAGGGGGACGGCAACGGGACGGCAACGTCTCGCGGGGCTGTGGCCCGACTGCTTCGCGCCTGGCGAGTAGGCCCCGCCCACCCAGGGTACCCTCTCCGAGGACCCATTGGGTGGCTGGTTCGAGGACTCGCCGGGGCTCTGCTCCAAGAGACCTCGAGAGAGCGTGCGTGTGCCTCTACTCGCCAGGCTTCGCGCGTTCACGAGTTCGAGTCGTAATCTGTGATCTGTGAGGGTCCGCCCGCAGGCGCATTTTTTATACCGAGGCAGTGCCCGGTGCCGAGCGCAGGCAGAGCCCACAGGTCGGACCTTGAGACAGCATTGTAGATCCCTCTGGGCGAGGGTGGTGGAGAGGGCGGTCCGTCGGCGCCAAACCACATCCCACCGAGGTGGGCAGGTTCCACGCGTTCCCGGACCGCCCCGTTGGAGGTAGACCGCTCGTCTAGCCAATCAGCCTTAAGCGAGCGGCCTGGCCGTTGGAATGGCCGAGTATCCGAGAGGCGGCAGCCTCTGCCCTCGGAGAGGGGGGGAGGTCTATGACCTACCTAGTTGTTTGTCCGGCATGCGAGGGCATGCTCGGCCGTTCGGAGTCCCCCCCTCGTAGAGGACGTCGGAGGGAGGGGAGGACGACTGTCCCCGCAGGACCTCAGTTACGAGCCGTCCTCCCCTCGAGACGCGAGGCCAGTGCACTTGGGGCCAAGCCCCAGCGTGCACCGCGCCCCACACGGAGTATCGAGTTGGCGAAAATTGAAAGCTTTCGGGAATAAGCGCGGGTTAGCGTGGGTTCCACCGGGTTAAGCCACACTAACCCGGCACGGGTTAGCACGGGTCAGAACGGGTTACCATAACCCGACGCTAACCCGACGCTAACCCGGCACTAACCCGTCCTAACGTATGCCCCGCGAGCAGCGCGGGTTTAGCGCCGGGTTAGTCTCGGGTTAGTCTCGGGTTAGGTTTGGGTTAGAGCTCTACGGCTCGTTCCGCCCCTCTCTCGTGCGTTCACTGACTCGCCACACCACAGCCGCGGGCGCATGGCGAGCGGGACAGTCTCATGCCACAGGTTTACCTCAGGTCTCCAGTACTCTCATCCCAGTGGATGGACGTCCGGACGTCCCTTTGTGTTCCTCCCCCCGTCCGCCAGCGAGACGCTCAGTCGCTGGCGGCCGCAGTTTTCTGTGAGGTGGGAGGAGAGGAGAGGACGCAGTGAAGATGGCGCAGCAGCAGGCCCCGCCAGATTCGCAAGCGCCCATCGTCGTCGTCGTTGACGAGGTTCAGATCACCAGTGATGCAATGCTCGTTCTCGTTCCAGGGGCTCAGCACGTAAAGGACCATACGCCTTGTCTGAGTTGGACCACGGTGTACGACAATGCAGGAGCAGTGACCAACTACACCCTGGGGCAGAGCGACGCCAAGGGCGCCTTCCTGCCGCGGTGCCGGTTTAGCGTGGACCAACCAGCAGACATGACAGCCAGGGCTCAGGAGCCAGCCGCTTTTGCGGCAGCCGACCCGCGGAGGTCGAGCGCGCCGCGAGCCGCGTGCGCGCAGATCGACATGGCGAGGCGACCGTCATCCCGAGCGATGCCGCTGGCGCGTCGGCGCGAGCCTGCCTGCGGCTCGGTGGAGGGCTCCACCGGCTCGGCGCGGCGGGGGTGCGCCGACTGCACCACTCCCGCACCATCCCGACTCGGGAGCGGTGCAGTTCATATGAAAAGGAGCGCGGGCCGCACGCTCCCCGCCGTCGGGGGTGGTGCGCAATTAGGAGCGGGGGTGGGCCCGGAGGTGCCCCGCCTGGAGTCCACCGCTAGCCCCGCCTGGAGGGCAGCGAGTCCACCGCTAGCTGCCGCCGCGAGCAATCGCTCGACTGCAACTGACCGCGACCGCGCACCACGCGACCCGGCCCGAGGCTCCGGCGCGCCTCTCGGCTCGATGCCAAAGGTGGCCGCGGAGGAGACGGCGCGCCTCCACCCCGCCGTCTCCGCCTTCCGCATCCGCGCCTCGGACCTCCGCCACCTCCTCCGCCTCACGCTCCCCATCATGGCGTCGTCGATGCTCACCTTCCTCCTCACGGTCGTCGACCTGCTCTTCGTCGGCCGCCTCGGCACGCACGAGCTCGCCGCCGCAGCGCTGGCCAACACGGTATGGAACACGGTCGCCCTGCCGCTGCAGGGCTGCGCCTCGGCGCTCGACACGCTGCTCTCGCAGGCCCACGGCGCCGGGCAGCACGCCGCCTTCCAGACGTGGACGCAAACGGGGACGCTCCTCATTCTCCTGCTCGGCATCCCGTTTGCGGCCATCCTGCTGCTCGCCGAGCCGCTGCTGCTCGCCATCCGGGAGAGAGGGCTCGCGTGGGGCGTCCCTCCGTACCTCGCCTTTCTCTCCCTCGCCAAGCATCTGCAAGCGCAGGAGGTCGTCCTGCCGCTCGTGGCCATCGCGGCGCTCGCCAATGCCGCCAACGCGGCGGCCAACTGGTGGCTCATCCACCGGCTCGGCCTCGGCCTCGCCGGCGCCCCGCTCGCCACGTCGCTCTCTCGCTGGGCGCAGCTGCTGCTGCTGCTGCTGTACTCGGCCGCCGCCCGGAAGCGGCTCGCGCCTCCGCTTCCCGGCTGCCTGCCCGAGCCCGCGCCGCTGCCTCGGCTGGCGGCGAGATTCTTCTCGCTCGGCATGAGATTCTTCTCGCTCGGCGGGCCGGGCGCGCTCATGCTCGCGCTGGAGGCGTGGGCGTTCGACCTGTCCACCCTCCTCGCGGGCTACCTCGGCCAGACGAGCCTCGACGCGCACGTCCTCCTCCTCAACGTCTGCTCCTTCACGTTCATGAGCTTCCCCTTCGCGGTCGGCGTCGCGGCGTCGATCCGGGTCGGCCGCGCGCTCGGCGGCGGCGACGCGCGGGGCGCCGCCGCGGCGGCGCGCCTCTCCACGTGCCTCGTCCTCCTCTTCATGACCGCCCTCGCCACCGCCAAGCTCCTCGCGCGCCGCCAGCTGGGCCTCCTCTTCACCGACGACGACGAGGTGGTCGCCGCCGTCGCGGGCATCGTCGCCATCGCCGCCCTCTTCCAGATCTCCGACGGGCTGCAGGCAGCACACGTCCCAAACACACACCCATCCCTCCTGAGCTCCTCCACCCCCTTCCTCCACCCCGCACCTCTTGCTCTGCAGGCCGCAAACGCCGGAGTCATGCGCGGGATGGGGCGGCAGCGCCTCGTCGCCGGCCTCAACCTGGTCGGCTTCTGGCTCATCGGGCTGCCGCTCGGGGCGAGCCTCACTTTCGCGGCGCGCGTCGGCGTCGCCGGCCTCTGGTGGGGCCTCGCCGCCGGGCTCACCTGCGTCGCAGGCTTTGGCGCCGCCGTCGTGCTGCGCACCGACTGGGAGGCGGAGGCGCGCCGCGCACGGCTGCGCGTGGGCGCGCCGGCGCCGCGCTCCTCGCCGCCGCCGCCGCAGCAGCAGGCGCAGCGCGCGGGCGGAGGGGAGGATTTGGTCGTGCCACCGACGCCTCTCGCAGAGGTCGGCATGTGCGCAGTCGGGAGCGGCGACACACCAGCCGCCAGCACGAGCACCGTCTCAGAGCAGTGTTGAAGTCGCGTGACCGTCAAGATACCGCATACCGGGGCGCTTTTTCGGTGACGTCAACCATCGACACGTGTGTACACCTCACAGCACACAGAGTACCTCGCTCTCAGTGGAGGGTGTGTCTGTGTGGACAGTTTTCTCGTTATCCTGCCACTTATCGTACGTGGCTGGGTTCACAGCGATTGTACGTACTTATAGCTTACTGGGAGAAAAGAGAGAGGGGGTTGTGTTCTCTAGGCCCCTAAGGGCCCTACGCGCGGCGTGAGAGCTCGGAAGCGAGCTTTGCACGGCGATCGAGGATGGCACGGTTCACCCCCTTCACCGAAGCGATGGAGATGCGTTCCGCGTGGTGTGACACAAATGAGAGGCGGGAGTGGGGAGGGTACGCGGTGCGGTCAACGCCCGAGCGTTGAGCCTTGCGCGCAAGGCGGTTGATCTTTGCCACTGCTGGCGGCGAGAAGCCGCCGCCGAATGTCTCGTGGAGAAGCAGGTTGAACTTGTTGCGTTTGGTGAAGATCCCATCATGGTAGTGGCCACGCTGTGACTTGACGTAGCCTTGGCCAGTGGTGTGGTCGAACGCCCGTTGACCACGGAACCCGCGTTGCTTGCAGCCCATGTTTGCAAGGCGGGCGCGCTCTTCGGTGTTGCCGAAGGCGAACTTGTCTCCAACGGAGCCGGGGTTGCCTCCGGTGTCGGCGCGGCCGACCCCAACGGGCAAGCCACCCCGGAGGGGGGTCCAAAGTTTGACCTCACTGATCTCGTCTTTGCCCCCGGGAGCCTCGCCCGGTTCAGCCAGGTCGGTCTTGTAGCCCTCGTTGAACTGTTTGGTGAGTTCTGGTTTTTCGGCATCTCCCATAACGGGCCGGGAGACGGAGACGGCGTGGACACAATCGTACCAGGCGCGAAGTACGCCGTCGTGTGGGCGCCGCCGGGCGGCGTTGTTGAGGAACCAGTCGCCATGGTAGTCCTTTGCACCACCGACTGTGTCCCCAAGCTCGAGTGCCCGCGTGACAGTCGAGCGGCACTGCGAGAGGTGAAGGCCGTTTCGGCGCTGAAGCTCGCCGATGAATATGTCGTCTGGAATGCATGTGGCATTGCTGCCGTCGAGTTTTGTGTCGAGCCACCGCCCCGCGTAAGGCTGCGCAGTTGAGACGTAGCGGATGGACTCGCGTAGACGTATTTTGGTGTCGCCTGGCTGCCAGTTTCTCTCTCGATTGTAGGAAAATGAGGGGACCACTTGACGGTCGCGGCCTTCCGACTCGCGCCTCCGCCTCACTGGCACTATTGTAGCCCTGGCCGGTGCGCGTGTGAAGTTGAAGTTCCGGAGTGAAAATTCGAACGCGTTCTCTCACGGTGACCACCTCAGAGGCACCTCCGGAGGCAGGCCGCCGCACGCCGGCGACACAGCTCCAGCTGTCGAACTGACCCACAGCTCCTCTCAGAGCGGGAACTGTGACGAAAGTTGACTGAGGCGGTTGTCAGGAATCATCATACGGATCACATGGTGGCTCTCTCATGACGGGAGACCGCCCGACCACTCCTGGGTGGCACTGCCACCGGTGTCGCTCGACGTCCTGTCGACAGCGTGCCGACAGCGACACATACCATGTGGGACGCGTCGAGTATCGACCTCTACTGCTTACCCAGCCTTCGAGTGTATCCTGGCTGTGGTCCCACACCCACTGGTGTCCATCTCAGAGACCGCAGGAGGTCATGAGGGTCGATGGGAGTGCCAACCCCACAATGCGCCTAAAAACACCGAGCCCAGTATATCGGATTTTTTCCCCGGAGCATCTGACACCATTGTACGGCTCTCTCTAGAGTCTCTCTGACAGTCCGCTGACGTCAGTGGACAGTGCAACAAAATATTCACATACCGCGTTACATTTACATCCACGAATGTTTCGCCAGCGAGAGCTCCTTGAGCACTCTCGCAGCATTCTCGTCAACCGGACGGCTGCCGTCGAGAAGGGTGTGCTCAAAGTCCACGGGGGCAAAGGCCCATTCGGAGCCGCTGGCAGCCGCCGCGGGCGCCTTGTAGAAGTGCCCCTCCCGCTGCGCCACCCGCTCCGCCGCCAGCGCGTCGCTCGTGCCCATGAGCACCCACCGCGCCGCGGGGAAGCGCGCGCGGAAAGCGTCGCGCAAGTCGGCGTTGACAAAGGAGAACGAGACGAGGCAGTGCCCGGCCGCTTGGCGGCCCGCGGCGCGCCGCTCGGCGGCGCACTCGCGCAGCCGCGCCTCGAGGTGGTCGCACGCCGCCTGGGCGAAGGCGCGCCGCTGAGGCAGCGTCGGGTAGACGCCGCGCGCAAAGTTGTCTCGCATCCAGAGCGGCACGCACACGTCCAGATCCTCGCCAAAGACGTCCCCGCCATCGGCGGCCGCGAGCACGGCGTCTGCGACCGTCGACTTGCCCGCTCCGGGCCGGCCAAACAGGATCGTGACGGAGGTGGGCGGCGGCCTGCCCGCCCGCATCTCCTCGCCGAGCAGCTCCGCCATCTCCTCGACGCTGCTCGGCTGCCTGCTCCGGCCGAGGAAGGGAGGGGCAGCCGGCTCCTCTCGAGGCGCGGCCTCCGGCGCCACGCCGCGCGCGAGCCGGCGGATGGTCGCCGCGGCGACGGCGGCGGCGCGGCGCCCCATCTCCTCGAGGAGAATCGACTCGCCCGCGCCCGTCTCTGCGTGCTGCGGCTCCGGAGCCGGCAGCAGCTCGCTGTTGGAGATGTGGGGAGATATGGGGAGATATGGGGAGATATGCAGCTCGCTGTTGGAGATGTCCTTGATGAAGAGGACCGGCGCACCGAAGGTCTGCCCGACGCGTGCGACCGCGTACGCCTCCATCTCCTCGCAGACCGTGCCGAGCGTCGCGTGCAGCCGCTCGATCTCGGGCACGTGCTGCGTCCACGTGTCGGTCGAGCCAACCTTGCCCACGTGCACCGCCACAGGCCTCGGCTCTCGACCGCCGCCATCGGGCCACGCCGGGAGCGATGGCGCAACCTCCGCCGCCGCCGCTCTCGCCGTGCGCAGCAGCAGCGGGCTGGCCGGGAGCTCCGGCAGCGGAGGCTCGGCGACGCCCGGGCGGTGGCCGACGTGCTCCGATTCGCCGCTTGCGCGCACCATTCGGCAGGCGAGAGGCACGACCGCGCTGCCCAGCACCACGTCGCCGGGAAGGAGGTCTGCACGGTGGGCGCCAGAACAGCCGACGCTCAGCACAGCCAGCGGAGGCCGGCCCGACTCGTCGAGGCAGGCTGCGGTGCACGCGATAGACGCGTCCACCTCGCCGATGCCCACCGTGACCACGTCGACCTGCAGTCCGCCAATGCACCCGCGCACACGCCGCCGCGCCGCCGGGATCAGCGGCACCTCGCACAGCTCTTCGAGTGCTTCTTCGACGAAGCGAGCCTCTTCGCGGACCGCGCAGGCGACCAGCACCCAGTGGCGCGCGGAAGAGCGCCTCCGCCGCAGCCAGACTGTGACCGCGGCGGCGGCGGCGGCGGCGGCGGCGGCGGTGGCGGCTAGCGTGACGGAGGAGCGGTCCGGCATCCGACTGTCTGGTCAGCGCGGTTGTTGAGCGTCCTCCTCGGCAAAAGAGAATTTTCAGCACGGGATTGGCAAGCTTGGCGCGCATTCATTTTCAGTGTGAGTTTGACGCGTCCATTCGTCGCGTCCTATAGCCCGAGGACGCGCCAAAAACGAGCGCGGGGCACGTGCCCGTCCTGTCCGCCGTTCACGCTCCACGCTCGACCCAGATGTGCCAGGGCTGCGTCAGCCCGGTGGTGGCCTTCTCGTGGCTCGGAGGGATTCTGATCAACGGCTCCTTCATCTGGCTCATCTCGTTGGGCACGGCAACCCACTGGCCGCTCGGGCTGGTCTTGGCGATCTTGTACACCTGCATCCTCTTCGGCGTCGCCAGTCGGCTGATGCGCCGCGAAGAGCCGGCCTTCATCGTCGACATCTTCCTCCTCCTCGGCGTGATAGGCGTCGCATCGAGTGGCGGCATCCTCGCCAGCAACATTTTCACGTCTGGCTGCGGCCCCCATGACGGCCCCCCGAGACCCATCGCGACTTGGAGTTCTCCAACCACCAATTTGTCGCGCGACGTGATGATATGGGCGCAGCGCACGTCGTGGGATGCGGGCTCAACCTTCGTCTACGAGCCGGTCGGCGCTGCTCTCTTCTTCCGAGGCCAACGTGCAAGCGGTCGCGGCGAGGCACTCTGGCGCAGCACCGCCGGCTCGGCGTCGCCCGTGCAGCTCGACGGGTCGTTTGTCCGGCCGCACGGTCTCGTGGCTGTGGGCCAGCATGTGTGTTTCGTCGCGCACACCAACACCTCGTACGCCGACGCCGTTTACTGCTACGCTTCAGACGGCCTCTCGTACACGCGCGTGAGCGGGAGGAATGGCGATGAGCCTCGCAGCCCGCGCTCGCTGCTTGCGACACCCGATGGCTCGCTGTTCTTCAAAGCGTGGGCCCCCTTTGGTCGCACGCCTTCGGAAGGCGTGGTCTACCGCGCCGACCCACCCTTCACGACCGCGGATCTCCTCTCGCGGCGTAAGGGCGGCGTCTTTCCGCCGCCGCCGCCGCCGCCTCCCGCTGCGCCGGGCGCCTCGCCTCCGCCACTGCCACCGCCTGGCTGTGACAGCGAGGCAGGCGTCCGCACGATGGCTGTTGGGCTGCTCGGGCTGGCGACGCTGCCGGCGCTGCTCGTATCGCTCTTCATCTGGTGGCGCCTCAAGGCCCCGTCCATGGCCCTGGCCACATTCGTGAGCGTCTCAGCGCTCGCCATCAACGTCTACGCCATCATCGCGCCGGGCGGCGCCGCGAGCGCGGGTGACTTCGTGCAGTGGTGGTTCTTGTGTGCGGGCGCGGCGTTCCTGCTCCTCTTCATCTCGCTCAAGCTGCAGAACCGTGTCGACAACATCACGTTCCGATGGGCCCTCGACGTGGGCTGCATCGCCTACGCCGGCGCCATGCTCGCAATCCTGCACGTGCCTTTCACCGACATGGCGTGGCGGTGGGTCGTCTACCAGTTCACCTTGCTGCTGCCGATGCTGCTGCTCTCCGCCGTGGCCGCGTCGACAACCACCGGCTTGCCGCTCGTGCTCGCCTCGGCCGCCGTCTTTGTCGATGCTTGGAGGCTCACCGTCGAGCTGACGCGGCTCCTGGGCTCGTCCAGCCTGGCCACCCTCGCCACCGTCGTCATGCTTGGCTTGGTGGGCCTGCTCCTGGTCTTTGCGGGGCTGGCGTACGACCGCCACAAGGACAACATCGCCGCCGCCGTCGACGCCGTCGCCGAGAGGGCGTGCGGGCCGTGGCGCAAGCGGCCGCCCCCGCCGCCGGAGCCCACACACGCATCCGCCTCGGCCAGTAGGGCCCCCAAGGTGCTTGTGTGAGGGAGAGGGGTTTTGCACGGGGCCCATGTGCGTTTCTTTCAGACCAGTGCGGCGCCGCACGTCTTTCCCTTCACTTCCCCGGAGGGGGGCGGCGCGGCGGCGGGACCGCTCTACGAGCTGGTTCAAGCTGTTGAGTTGTCCTTGTCAGCCCTCTGTTGTCCGTATGTATGTATGTAGGAAGGTGAAGAACAGTCAGGCTCGGACTGGACACCAACGCGGTATGGGTGGACGCTGGACAGATGATGACGACACGCACGAGCGACACCACAGACACAAGCAGGCTCACAAGCAACACACAGCCAGCGGGCTGCCACACACCCTGAGTGGGCGTACACATCACTCAAGGCCACGTCCCCCCTGTCGCCCCCCCCAGCACTCCAAGGTGCCAAGAGACAAACAACAGCACAACAACACAGACAGGCGACAGGGACGAACGTGTGAGACTAGAGCAGGCTTGCTCCGCCTCTAGCAATCTCGTCGCCGGCCGCAAGGCATGGACGAGACCGTGTGTGGGGTCTTGTGAGGTGTCTATGGACGCCCTCCTCACAGGCGATAGGCCTACCGCTTGTTCTCCCGCTCGAAAAAAGAAAAAAAGCGGCACCCTCGCGCCAGCGCTGCGCGTACGACACGGAAAAAACGTGGTTGCCGAAATTGAGAGGCAGGAGGTCGTTGTGCGCCACCCCACTCCCGTCACCTCCTCCTCCGCCAGCGTACGCCGAAATGCTGCTCATGTCCGCCGAGGCGCTGCGTAGCGGCATCTCAGCTGCCGCGCCTTGGTCCGCGCCTGGCGCATTCGACAAGCACTCGCTGAGCGCGCTCGCGTCCGAGATTGAGCGGCTGCCAATGAAGGCCTTGCCAATGGTAAAAGCATTCGCGCCGTCCAACGCAGCTGACGCTTGGGCACGCGATGGCGCCCACATAGCTTGGAGCTGCTTGGGCGAAGACTGTGGCAGGGTGCACGCTCCTGGAACGACGGTGCTCGACGCCGTGACCGAAAATGCGGCTCCGCTTGCTGCGCGTCTTTCCGACTCGCGCGACGGCAGCGCGGCGACAGCAGCCATCGGTGAGTGGGTGCGGACGCTGGCCGATACCACCGGCAGGCCGGTGCTGGACGCAGACGCGTACCTCACTCCTCCGCGAGGGGTGTCGGCCTCTCTGGGCTGGCATGTGGACGATGTCGATGTGCTGCTGGTGATGCTGCGCGGGGAGAAGCGGTTCCGGGTGGCTGGCTCGCGGCTCGGATCGCCAACCACCATCGACCTCACGATGCGAACGGGAGACGCGATCTACATCCCCGCGCTCAACTTCCACACAGGCGGCGGCGACGACCTCTCAGACCTCGCACGCAATAACCACAGTGTCCTCCTCAGCGTTGCTCACAGGCCTTTGCCCGCCGCCGCCGCCGCCGCCGCGACGAGACACGTCGCTGAGTGGCGTACGGTGCGCCAGGCCCTCCTCGCCCGGGCGCCGTCGGCAGGGTGGGAGTGGGCTGGCACGCGGGCCGGCGCCCACTGGCTCGGCCAGCAGTTTGGCGACTCGGACTCGTCAACAGCGAGGATGGTGCGGCGCCATCTAGCGAATTCCGCTGAATCGTGAGTAGCCCGCTTGCCTTTGTGTCGTTTTGTTCTCATCTCTGTGAAAAGACGTACTCGACGAGGTACGGTGTCCGATGCCGCGCCTGCTCTCTCTGCTCCATCCTCACAATTCGCGACCATCTAATTTTCTCGTTCCATGTCGGTGTGATCCACGTGTGGCTCCCTGGGAACGCACCTCGGCCGACTAGCGAATCCCGCTCGCCGCGCCGCCCGGCTCCGGTCCCACGCGCCGCTTCGCGCGTGCTACGCGTCCCAGGGCAGCTCAGCGAAGAAGCCTCCGTGCTGGCACGCCGCGTGCTTGATGTCCTCTGGCTGCACCTGCGGCGGCAGAAGCGAGAGTCTGAGCACACAAGCGGGCGAGGAGCCACGGGGCGGTGGGGGGCGGGGCGGGGCGCGCCAGCAGCTGCACGGCATCGGCGCTCGAGGCGGAGGCGAGCAGCCGCCCGTCGCGGAGGCGCGAGACCATCTCGACCAGCTCGGCCGGGCTCGCGACAGAGACGGCGCCTGCGGGCGGTCGGGTGCGGTGGCGCAGAGAGAGAGGCGAGCCGGGGGCGGCGGCGGCGCGCACCGTGGCGGCGCGAGAGGGCGTAAAAGTGGCCTGCGAGCTGGTGCAGCGGGACCTCGGCCAGCCCCGTCTTCTTTTGCTGCAGCACGGCGCAGCAGAGCAGCAGCAGCTGCTGCTTTGGCGTCGCGCCGAGGCAGCGCAGCGACGCGGAGCCGCGCAGCTGCTTCGATGCCTTGTCAATGTGGGCGAGGTCGACGTACGCGGGCGCCGCCGCTCCGCCGCCGCCGGCCGGCGGGCCGACCGCGCGCACCTCCTCCCGCTCGGCCAGCTGCGCCGCGAGGCGGCACACCTCGAGCGCGCGCCGGATGTCTCCAGAGACGGCGGCAACCTTGCGCGCGCAGAGCTCGACGCCCTTCGGCTCGAAGGCGTCGAGGCCGGTGAGTCGGTCGGCGATGATGGCGGCGATCTCCGAGTGCGAGTACGGGAGAAAGCTCACGCGCCGGATGCCGAGCCGCGAGTGCACTCGCGGCAGCAGCCGCTCGGGCAGGTCCATCGTGTTGGAGATGCCAATCAGCGCGAGGGGGGCGTGCCCCGAGGTTGCCCACTCGAACAGGTTGTAGATGACGGACTGGGTGCGGGTGACGAGGTAGTCGAGCTCGTCGAGCAGCAGCACCACCACCTCCGCACCGCACCGCCGCTTCTTGCTCGGCGCAGAGAAGCGCTTGTCGAGCAGCTGCTGCGCGCGCGCCACCGACGCGTGCTGGCCGGTCAGCCCCTCCCAGAGGAGGGAGTAGACCTGCTGCGGCGAGGAGAGCTTCATGCCGTTGACCTCGAGCGTGCGGAAGGGCGGCAGGCCCCGCTCGGCCGCCAGCAGCCGCAGCGCGTGGTGCACGGTCGCCGTCTTGCCGGTGCCGGGCGTGCCAGAGATGTAGAGCGACGTCCCCTTGCCGCCGCCGCTGATGGCCGAGCGCAGCGCCGTCGTGAGCTCCTCGCGCTCCTGCGGAGGCACCACCCGGACCGCTCAGCCGCCGCACCCTCCCCCACCCCCCCCTCCGCACCCCTTCGGGCTCCCGTCCCCACCCGCACCTTCTCGCGGCATGGCAGCCGCGACGGCGCGGCGTGCGGCGTCAGCAGCCTCGCAGCCTCGCTGAAGCGGGAGAGCTTGCGCCGGCCGCCGCCCGGCCGGTCGGCGGCGAGCGCGCCTGCGAGCGGGGCGAGCCCGCCCCGCCGCGCCGCCTCGGCGAGTGACGACGCGCCTACTCGGTCCGCCCGGGCCGGTGAGTGAGGGGAGGGGGGGGAGAGGGGGCGGGGAGGGGAGAGGGGGGCTTGCCGTTGAGCGGCACAAACTCGCCGGTGCCGGGGTGGTACTGCGCGCGGCACACGTAGGTCACCTCGTCCTCGCCCTCGTCGCCCTCCGCCACCGGCGCGTCGAGCCACCTCTGGTACGCCTCCCACTCGAGCACGCACGCCTTTCCGTCGATGGCGGCGAGCGGGTTATCATCCGTGTGCACCGCCTCGAAGAGCTCGCGCGGGTCGTGACCCGCCAGCCGGCCCGAGGCGGTCTGCTCGGGCGAGTAGTACCACTTGAGCTCCGCCTCCTTCTCCCCCTCGCCCGACTCCCACAGCGACACCACCCGCGCCACCATCACCTCCCTCTCGCAGTGCCCAGACACGACCACGTCGTCGCCCACGTGAAAGTGCTCCCCCTCGACCGACACCGCCTGGTAGAAGCGCTCGCCGCGCTCGCCCAGGCTGATCGGCTCGCCGACCCACTGCGCCACCTCCTCCGCGGCGGGCTCCTTCGCCGCGCCCTCGCTGGCCGAGGCCGCACGCGCGGAGCCCTTGGTGGGCAGGGAAGCGGTGCCGTCCGCCTCACCGCCGCCGCCGCTGCCGCCGCCAGCCTCGTCGTCGTCGCCGCCGACGGAGCCGCACGCGGCGCCGGGCCGCACGCGGCGCTGCGCGGCCGCCGCCGGCGCGCCCTGCTGCGGCTGCCGCCGACGCTTGTGCCCACTCCCCACCACGCGTGAAGAGACGTACTGCCCCGAGAAGCAATCCCATTGAGAGCCCTCTGGTGCGGGCCCGCGCGGCTGCGCCTGCAGGCGTGGGGAGGCGCGGCGCCCCCCCGTGGCGGCAGCACCCCGGTCCTGCCCCGTCAACGCGTAGGTCGCCGGCGCCGACGCAGCCGGCGACCAGAGCGCGGAGCCGACGTTGCGGTGCTTGCCCTCGCGCACGAGGGCGTCGGTGATGGAGCCCTTGTTGGTGACGAGGCCGCGCTGGAGCACGTGCTTCACGATGGCGTCACGCTCGGTCGCGCCAGCGCTGAGCGCCTTGAGGATCTCCGTGCGAACCGTGGAGTGCACAGATGTCATCCTAAGACGGTCCTTCGGTCCTTCGCGCCATTTGTTCGCGCGCCAAGGTGCAATTCTTCCGAACCTCCAACTGCATGGGGGGGTCATAACAAACACGGTACAGGATCGAGGTGCACCAGAAGCAGTGTCGTCCCCCCTCTCCCCGACTTGCTTACTTCAGCGCTTACTTCAGCGCGCGCGAGGAGAGAGAGAGAGAGAGAGAGAGAGAGAGGGAGAGAGAGAGAGAGAGAGAGAGAGAGAGAGAGAGAGAGAGAGCGAGAGAGCGAGAGAGCGAGAGAGCGAGAGAGCGAGCGAGAGAGAGAGAGAGAGAGAGCGAGACCGAGAGAGCGAGAGAGCGAGAGAGCGAGAGAGCGAGAGAGAGCGAGAGAGAGCGAGAGAGCGAGAGAGAGCGAGAGAGCGAGAGAGAGCGCGCGCGAGTGAGGGAATTTTAGCAATCAATACCGAATAAACAGAGGTACTGGTGGGATAAGGTCGGTCAGCGGGAGATCGGCGCTCGGCGGGAGGCGGCCGGTAGCTGCGGGACTTTTCGAGAGAGAGAGAGATTTTTACCAGATTTTTACCAAGCAATACCTAACCCAGAGGTCACAGGCGGGGTAAGATCCGTTAGCGGGCAATACGACGAGCTGAAATAAAGAAATAGAGCAGCACGCAGGCATCTCCAGGAGAGATGGGCGACGCATGGACACAGAGTGACAGCACGCACCCCGCGCCGCTCGCAGGGCGTGCATCACAGTTAGAGTTGTTTGGTATTGCTAAAAATCTCTCTCTCAGGAAGGAGCGAAGGACACACAGGCACACAGCACACACACATACTCACACAGGTTAGGGGCTCTGCAATGCCTCGGGGTCTCTTTTGGACCACTCTTGAGTGTGCTGTCTGACGGCATGCCTGAAATGGGCACTAACTGTTGTGCGCGTCGGGCTGGTGGTTAGTTCGCTCGAGCGCGCGGCAATATCTAGTGGCGAGGTGTGCGGTGGGTGAGCGTACCGCGGGCGCCGGAGTCGTGAGGAACGCTGTGCATCGAGCAGCACGCGTTACGAGGTGGAACGGCCCGAGCGCGGAGCGGCGGTGGGGCGGGGCACGGGCAGCGCTTCTGCCGCCTTGCAGCCGCCTGCTGCGGCCGAGGGCAGCCTGTGACAGGGATTTGTGAGGGATATGTTCTGAAACTGCGCGAATAATGGTTGTCTTTATGGAGAAAAACCGGCGCCCAGCAACGTCTGCGCGAAAAAGAAAGCGAACATGGTTGGGGCTGTTTGGTTTCTTTCTTTCCTTCTGCTTCCTGCAAGAAGACCGCCACCACCGCCACCACCGCCCTCCTCATCAAGACCGCCGGCGTCTCTGCTACCCCCTTTGCTGCCGCCAAACAAGCTGCCGCCGCCGAAGAGCTGTGCAAAGTCGTTCGCTTGCTGATGGATCTTGCGGAGACGCGTGGTGCATCGCCTCTCCCTCCCGTTTGCCTGCCACTCATGTAGAACAGCGCCGCGGCAAACTCTCTCAGAGCTCACACAGGATCACAGCGGGAGGAAAGCGGCGAGTCGCAATTCCAGGGGTCGTTGTGGCGGGCCACCCTGTCCAGAAAGGCATGGATGCCGATCTGGGGTCTTTCGACCGAGCGAGTCTGATTTCGCCTCGCCGCCTCCCGATGGTGGTAAGGCTGGAGAGCCAAACAAAGCGGCGGAGATGGCGGGGGAGGGCGGGGGATCGAGGAAAGCACGACTCGCACCGACCCTTCACGAACCGAAAGGCTGCACCGGGGAGGGCACAGTAATCCGGCACGTGTTGGGCGCCCCATTCCGTTTGGCGGCTAGGTCGGCTCAGGGCCCCGTCCACTTCCCTCCCAATTGGCGCGTGATGATGAGGAGATGCCACCCAGGCCAGCCAGGGCAGGGGCGGAGGGCGAGGGCGGAGGGCGGGATGGGCGCCAAGCGGGAGGGAGCGGACGGGGAGGGGCGCACAGAGGGGTCTCCCACACTGAAGCAGCTGCCTGTTCCTTGTTCTCCGGCTGCTTGCCTTTGTTCCGCTTGGACGCATCGTGTGAGGCCAGCCAGCCCGCAAGGCCGCCCCAGCCCCAGTCCACGCGTCGTCTTGCTCCAGACTTGCGGGTTGCGGGCTGGAGTCAGTTGAAGGACCTCCCCTCCCACACCTCACGCCCCCATTTGTTCTTTTTTGATAGTGTGCGCCAGTCCACGCCCTTGTCGTGCAAGTGCTGTGTGAGAGAGCCTGTCAGTCGGTCACACAGTCTTACACACCTCCTAGGATGTTAATCATTACAAGAAACACCCGGGGCCGCCCACCAAGCCAATGTGTCTAAGGGTCTCTGGCACTCCTGGATGCATGCCACAGTCACAAACGGTGTAGAGGGACTCATGTCGTGCCAGGGGGCCGGAGGAGTGCAATGTTCGGAAGCGTCCGAGCGGTCCCGAGCGGTCCCGAGCGGTCCCGAGCGGTCCCGAGTGGTTCCGAGTGGCCAAAGGAGTGGGAAAAGAAAAACTGTTTCGCGTCGCATTTGCTGCTCTCGCGCGGCTCACTTGGCCCTATCTGAACGCCGCCCGAGGGCTTGCGTCCCACGGGCGGCGGGAGGTATGGATCTCAGCAAGCGAGAGGCGGCGGCCGCGGAGGGTTTGCGTCCGACGGCAACCGAGTGGACGGCGACGCCGCCCGGATCCCGGCACGCGCAATTGCCAAACCCACAGCCGGCGGGGCAGCACTCGCCACATCCTCCGCAGCAGCATGGCCGCGGCGGCTACATGCCGCCGAACGCGTTTGGCGGCGCAGCGCACGCTCCCGGCTACAACGGCTGCGGCTACCCTCCCTACACGTCGGGTCCCCTCGGCCTCTGGCGGGAGCCTGGGTTTGGGCCGCCGGGAAACAGCCACTTTCAGCAGGAGCTGGTGAACGCGCAGATGACGCTCCAGATGCAGCGGCTATCGCCGACACCGATGATGCACCAGCCCCTCTCGCCGTCGCCGATGCAGCAGCGCGCCGTCTCGACGCCTCCTCGCCGCCTGCGGCCGCAAGGCGTGGCGCAAGGCGCGCTCGGCCGGCCTCCCGCCGACCCGAGAGAGTTCCCGCGAGGCGAGTACGAGTACGACGAGATGGCCGCAGCCAGCGGCGCCAGCAGTCCCGCCGGGGGCGCCCCTGCCTCGATGCGCGCCGGCGCCTGCCCCGCCCTGCACTCGTGCGCCAGCTCGCACAGCCCGCCTGCTGTGCCTGGGCCTGCTGTGCCGGGCTGCTCGCCTGGGCCTGGGCACGGATGCATGTCTCCCGTCCACAGCTGCTCTCCGGTGCACTCCCTGCAGAGCGGCTCCCCGTCGAGCGGCTCGTGCCGCGGCTCGCCGAGCCAGATCCCTCCCAAGAAGGGGGCGCACAAGGAGCGGGTTGCTCCAGCGCGGTCTCGACTCGCCACTCAGTTACCGGCGAGCTGCCTCGCAGAGCAGGCGTCTCTCTCTCTCTCTCTCTCTCTCTCTCTCTCTCTCTCTCTCTCTCTCTCTCTCTCTCTCTCTCTCTCTCTCTCTCTCAGACACGCACAAGCCACCCGCCACCGCCACGCGCCACGCGCCACCCGCTACGCCACGCCCTGATGCAGTTGCCGCCACCGCCCTTCCTTCACCCCGCCCCCTCCAACCCACCACCGGCCAGCCCCACAATCAGAGGCCTCTGCACGGCGGCCTCCGCCCCTCACGCCGCCCATTCTCCCCTCGGGTCCTTCCCCTCGCGCCCCGCCCCGCCCCTCGCCTCCGCCCCGCCCACCCACCTCCTCGCCCCCCCAGGCCGAGGCCCTCCTTCGAGAGGCGGGCGGCAGCATGCTCTTCTCCCAGTTCTGCTCAAAGCTCTACGAGGCGAGGCCGACGGCACGCAGCGAGTTGCTCGGCGCAGGCGGCCCAAAGAAGTGGCGCGCTGAACCTGCCCCAACCCCCCCCGCCCCCACCCCACCCCCCACCCCACCCCGCCCCCGCCGCCGCCGCCGCCCCCCCCCTCACCCCACTCCTCAGCATCCCCTCCCCAGCCGCCTTCCCAGCCGCCTCGCCGGTTCGCCTCGCAGGGCTTCCACCCACTTCACCTACTCGGCGGGGGCGACGCCTGGCACAGACTCGCTCTCTCTCGCAGCCAGCCTCACGCTGCGATTCGCGCGGTAGAGAGCGCCGGCAGCAGCTTGTGGAGCGGTGCGGCGCACGTCTGCGCACGGTCGGCTTGCTCGCTTGTGTAGGCACAGCAACGAGCGGTGGGGGGTCCGGCTCAAGGGGCAGCCAGACACGCAGCCGCACGTCGAGGCGGTGCGGCGCTGCCCGACCCCTCAGCCCCTCCCCTCCCCTCCCCTCCCCTCGCGCGTCTCCCCCCCTTCCCACCCCCTCGGCCTCCCTGCCGCCGCACTCCTCTGCCCCAAGCGCGCCGCCCGCTGGTCCGCGCCGCTTCGCCGATTGCCCGCCTCGCCTCGCCGATTGCCCGCCTTGCCTCGCCGGCTGCCCGCCG